TTGTGCTATTCAACATTCCTTGTGGGGGAACCCTCCATTGATATCTCTTAACCGGTTGAGAATTATTATAAGTAGGTACTGTGAAGGCAAATCTTTCTCTGTCATTTTCTTGTAAGGGTATTGAAAAGAAACAGTCTTTTAAATCAATAACTATAAGAGGCCATCCTTTAGGTAACAGAGTAGGCAAAGGAATTCCAGATTGTAGAGAGCCCATTGGCTAAATTACATTGTTAATTGTTCTTAGGTATGTTACCATTCTCCATTTACCAGATTTCTTTTTAATAACAAATACAGGAGAATTCCAAGGGCTGGTTGATTCTTCAATATGCTGAGCATTTAACTGTTCTTCTAACAGCTCTTCTAAAGCCTGGAGTTTCTCTGTTGTTAAAGGCCATTGCTGAACCCATACAGGCTTGTCTGTTAATCATTTTAAAGGTAGAGCTGTTGGTGTCTTTGGAAGATCATCAGTTGTTGTGCCCTGTTCTTGTACAATCTGGATGGCTGGTGAACACTCATTAGACTAATACCTTCTAATATTTCTCTTAGAAACATGTGTTAGTTTATGATTTTTTTCTGGGGTTGGAGGAATGTTAATCTGAGTATTCAATTGTTGTAATAGATCACAGTCCCATAAATTCATAGCTATGTTAGCCACATATGGTTTTAATTTTCCTCTGTCCTTCTGGACCTATACATTTGAGCCATCTTGCACTCTGTTTCACTTGAGATAATGTTCCAATCTCTGACAGCTGAACATTTACCTCCTGAAGAGCTCAATTTGGATGCCAAAATTCTGGTGCAATTATTGTCATGTCTGTACATGTGTCTACTAAACCATCCAAGAAATTGTCATTTATTCATATTTTTAATTTTGGTCTTTGTTCATTTATAGAATTTTGCCCCCCAAAATTGCTTTATGGCTTTTCTTGAATTTTCTGTTCTTTCTGCCTCACCTGTTTTATCACCCTGAGCAGCCTGGTTTATTCCAATAGGCATTTGGTTATTTAATTGCTCTGAGTAGGGGTTTTTTTCTATGATGGCAGAAAAGGTCTGAACTTGATTTGCTGTGGGGGCCTGCATGAGGCCCCTCTGGGAGTTTCCAGAGGACAGAGGCAAAGGATTACTTTGTCTGTCCCTTGTTGATCTACATTCATTGATCCAATGTTTACCCTTATCACACCTTCTGCATATTCCAGAAGGGAGGGGTATTCTGTTGCTGTTGTTCCTTGAATAAACATTCTTTCTAGGAATGCCCTGTTTACATTCCCTTTTCAAATATCCTTGCTTTCCACACCCAAAATATCTGACATTCCTCAATCCTTTTGAAATTGCTTCTCCTATCCACATATCTTCATGGCCATGAGACTCAATATTAATTGTGTCCCTGATCCAGTCCTCCAAAGGTGCAGATCTTGCCTTTAATGGCCTGATTATTCTTTTGCATGCTGCATTTGCATTCTCAAAAGCCAAAGATTCAATTATTATCTCTCTAGCTTCTGATTCTGGTACTATTCTATTTACTGCTGAAGACAGCCTTTGTAAGAAATCCATGAAAGATTCTTTTGGGCCCTGTATAACCTTTGTGAATGACTCAATTTTCTTTCCTGTTTCCCCAATTCTGTCCCATGCAATCATGGCTGCCATGCAGCAAAGAATTAAGATTTGGTTATCATACAAACATTGCTTTTGTATTCCAGTGTATTGGCCTTTTCCAAGAAGCTGATCCTGGGAAATTTCCACACCTCTAGCTCTACATTGATTTTCTATTATCTTAGCCTCATCTCTGTACCACATGAACCACTGCAATTGTGCTCTGTATTCCTGAACAGCCATTACTAATTCCTTCCAGTCTTGAGGAATAATTCTATTACAAGTTGACCACGAGTTTAACATTTGCTTTACAAATGGAGAATGCATGCCATAGGATACTATAGCTTCCTTAAATATCCTCAAATCTAGCATTTCAACTGGAGTTCACTTAGTTTGTGCATGCCCTTGATCAGGTAGTTGCTGTATGGTTACCAGTTAAATTAAGTTTGATTGTTTGAAAACAGGCTGTCTCTCTATAACCTTATAATCCAATCCTGAAATAATTTCACCTTTAAATTCTTCTGAGTCTGAATTTCTCTATAATTAATTTTAATAGGTATATTAATATATAATTATATTATTAATAATTAATTTTCTAAAGCTTTTATCTTGGCACTTAAATTGACCATCTTCTTAAATAGTAATATAAGGGTAATTATCAAATAATATGCATAATTGATGTTACATACATCCTATCAACATTAATTCTCTCACGTAACTGTTCTGTTTTCAGACTGCCTAATGTTTTATCAAACAAAGACCAATTGTAAAGATATTTCCCATTTTCTAATGTGGGAAAAATTTTTCTCTTTTAAGTAGTTTCTCCCTTTAAGATATCTGATATCTTATTTGAATTACCAAGTATGTGTAGAACAGTAGAAGTCTGTGGGAATTTCAAAACAGCTACCTAGTGTGGTTGCAGTCTGAGATGGAGATCCAGAAAGAGAGAGAGAGAGAGAGAGAGAGAGAGAGAGAGAGAGAGAGAGAGAGAGAGTCTACTACCTACCAGGAGAAGAGAAAAAAGCTAAAAGCTAAAGTCCAGGCTGAGCCATTTCAGCCTGAGCCAGGGGCCTATAAACCCACAGGCAGTTAGCCACTAGCAGCTCCAGCCCCTTTAATCTCCTGCCATGTGAGTTGGAGATCTGGCTATAAGTAGCTCCAGCTGCATGCAGCCTGACCGCTTGTAGCTATGGTCAAGTGCAGCTCTGGCTGCGTTTAGTTGGACAGCTTGTGGCTCCGTCCAGGACTGGGGTCTGTATCCTCTGGTCTGTAAGGCCACCGATGGTTTTTCAATGAATTCTCACCACTTGTGAGCCAAATATAGACAAATTTCTAAACAGTCTCACTAAAGAAGAAACACAGAACCAAACACGGGGCAATAGCCAAAGAGATCAGAGAAATAGTGGGTAGCCATAACAAGCCTTAGCTTACCACCACGCTGTAGCTTCCACAGAGAGCTTCTTCCTGTCTCTGAACTGCACTTTTATTGACTTCCTGTCCTGCCTTCTCATTGGCTCTAAGCCCAGCCACATCACTTCCTCATCACTGCCTGTCTATATAGACCTCCAGGTCTCTATGGTTGGTACTGGGTTTAAAGGCACATGTCACCATGTTTGGCTGTGTCCTTGACCACTCAAAGACTCTGCCTGCTCTGTGACCAGATTAAGGGTGTGTGCTACCACTGCCAGACTTCTGTTTTATGGCTTGCTATGAACTCTGATGTCCAGGCAAGCTTTATTTATTAACATACAATTAAAATATCACATTTCAGCTCAAATAAAATACCACCACAATTTTCTTCCAACAAGACAGAAAGTTATGCAAATCAATTCTAAAGTTCAGAGATTGTAATCAGCTTTGATACCATTCTGAAAGTTTTCTTGAGAGTTTGAAGTCAGAGCCTAATCCATCAGTGGCTCTAAGCTTTATTTGGTAACTCCAGGTAAAATTCCCTCTTCTTAATTTTTTAAAGTTGCTTTTTAAGATTATCAGGAGCATTTCAAAGTAGCTGGTTGACAAAAGGTATTAGCATTTTAATTGCATCCTGACAGGTAGTTTTTCTGCACAGCAAAGAAAATTACAGGTCTTGGTAAATCTCAGAACTGAGCTTTGGTGTAAAGTTTTGGTCTTCTGGATAGATACAAAAGTTAATCCTCATTCTGTGTCCACTGGCGCAAACAAACTTCTCTCCTTTCAGGATATTCCATTTCTGTCTCTTCCTCCTTTCCTTGCATCTCTGATTTTTCTTTTGTGTGATAGACTGCACTGAGAATGCTTTCTCCCACTTGGCAAGAAATTCCAAGGTGGAGAGACTGTTTTTAAAGTCAACTAGATTTTTCTTTCTGCCAATAACTTATGCCTTCCTGTTCCCTCCATTTGCTTTCATGATTTCCATGGCTCAAAGGAACACCCAGAGCTTTGAACCATGTTTGCACTCTTTTATCTCACATCCTCCCAGCTGCTCTCTTGTCTCAGTGAATGACTTCTGCTCTGATTCACATGAAGTCATTAGAGGCAGGTGATGAATGTGCCTGGGAGCCTCTCCTGAATCAAGATGAAGCTAATGGTTTGATGATGCTATTTTACTTATTCTCCACAATGTCAGTGGTAGACATCAGAATGTTCCTTGGCTGAGGATTTGGGGAATCAGAAAATGAAACCCAGAATAGATGTCATGAGCTCTTTCCTGGCTCTGATGGCCCAGCTGTGAGGGAGAGTGGACACCAGCACATGTGATGACCACAGCAAACAGAGAAGGACACTTAATTGACAAAAGGGGAACTTCTTTTGGAATCTCCCTGTGGAGGAGGAAGACTTAACAGTCTGAAATAGTGTCCTAGTTAGCACTAACTGTCACCTTGACACAGCCCAAAGTCACCTGTGAAAAATGTGTTTCAACTGAGTAACTATCTTTATCAGGATGGTCTGTGGACATGCTTTGAGGCATTGTCTTAACTGACACAGGAGGACTCAGAGACATCTCTGTCCCCTTACTGCAGGGAGTAAATCCCACCTTTAACAGCACTGAGAACATAGGGCACACTGGGTGTCTGTGTCACATGGACACATAGGTAGGAATGAGCCACCTTCCTTGCAGCTGACAGACCCAAGGCTATCACAACAGATGTCCATTATTCTCTGAGGGTGCGGGGATGTTTATCAGCCTTGTAGCTTGATGTGTTATTTGGAGGTGAAATATAAGGAGAGAAAAGGTGAGAGGGATTTAAGACAGCACTGGGAGTGGAAGAGACAGAGCGGTGCCTTGGACAGAGACCCCACCACCCACAGACCATTGGGTTCTGTGATGTGCTCCTGCCCGGGAGGACACACATCTTAGAGGAAGGAAGGACAGCCAAACTTGGAGCCTGAACCAAAGCTGAAGCTCCTCTTAGAGGGAAGAAACCACAGTGAGAAGAGAGATGGAGGTGTTATCTCTGCTTCCATGCAAGGGCTGCACCCCCTGGCAGGGCCTTCTTCTCACAGGTAAGTGTGTCTATTCTCTGAGTGTGGAGGGAAGGGACCTCAGAGGCAGGATGGAGTGTTCTGAAGAGGACAGGAGCCCAAGAGGATACTTGGGGTTTCTGTTAGCGGTCACAAGGCAGAAGGCACAGGGAGGGACAAAGGCTCAGCAGCCAGAAGCTCTCAGCAGACAGGAGGTGATGAGGGATAGTGAAAAGCTCCAAACACTAAATGTTCAAAGTCAGTCATATTGGCTGCCGTGTTCTGAAGACTGATGTTCCCAACCCTGACAGGGTGACTCTCCAGACAGAAATCAAAAAGGGGTGGACCAGTGAGATTGCTCAGTGTCCAGGTATACAACCTGAATTCATTCCTCAGGCCCCATATGGAAAGAATAGATTCCTGAAAGATCAACCCAGCCCTCTATACAGGAGCTGACATATGGACCTGCAGATGTACACATTGGGACACGTGCTTCCCACGAGCACCATTTCATGGACTGGCACATGCACACACTGAGACAGGTCCTTCACAAACACACACATAAAATACATAAGTAAATGTAAAAAAATGAAATCACACTTGACTACAATCATTGTCATTATTGCCAAACCTAGGGACTATGTAGAAAAATCCATGGACACAGTCCTTCTTCCTTCTTTCTACCACTCTTCTTTCCTTTCTCCACTTGTGTCTGAGTCTTTTCCAGGAATTGAACCTTCCAAAGACTCCAGGTTCTCACAAAACCCTGGTTATAGTAGAACAGAAATCAGATTGTCTGGAGCATGAAGTCTCAAGTTGGCTGGAACCAGGAAGGGAACAGAGAAACATGTCAGAAAGTGAGGGCTCTCTAGAGGTAGAGGTTAGAGAGGCATTACTGCTTGAACCAAATGCTGTTTATGTGAAGAGGGATATGGGGACACTGTGTAGGGATCCAGGCAGACACTTGACCAAGGAATCCCCATATAGAGGAAATGACATAGTTAGAGGCTTTGAGGGAATGGTAGTCGTGTTGCTCACCTTCATCAAGGAAGGTGGGCACACCCCTACTCATACACTTAAGCTGAGTGATGAACATACCTGCTCAGTGTTGGTTGTGTTTCTCTTTTCTGGTCTAGCCTCCCTTTTAACCTGCTGGCACCTGTCCACCGCTGCCCAAGTTACCATTGAATCAGTGCCGCCCCAAGTGGTTGAAGGAGAAAACGTCCTTCTACGTGCCAACAATCTGCCAGAGAATCTTCTAGCTTTTTCCTGGTACAAGGAGGTGAGAAATATGAACCTCAGAATTGCACTATTTGCACTGAACACTAATCAAAGTGTGATGGGGCCTGGACAAAGCGACAGAGAAACAGTGTACAGCAATGGATCCCTGTGGCTGAAAAATGTCACCAAGGAGGACACAGGATTCTATACCCTACAAACAGTAAATAGAGGTGGAAAAACTGTATCTACAACAACCACGTACTTCCATGTGTACAGTAAGTAATTCTGTGTGAAATCTGGGTGCTGGATGGGGTTCATTACACTGGATATGCACAGAAATATCAAACCCAGCCTGTGTCTACCTCCACTCTGCGTGTGTCCCCATGTTTGAGTTTGAGCATTTAGTTCAGGACACACAAAGTGGAGAATAACTGCAGTAGATCAGAATCCTTCATTTGACTATACCTTGCAGGCAGCTGGATGCATGGTGGGTAAATCAGCCTAGGTTATCTTCACTATCTATACTCTTGGGGTTCTCATAAGGAATGTATCCCTGAGACCGTCCCCAAGTGACAGAGAGTTTGCCTGATTAATGGATTGAATGGGAATGGGATTCTGATAGAATGGTGAGCCCCAGGAAGCCCTGGTTGAGGACCTCTGTCCCAGACTCAACACCAGGTAGCCCTGAGAAGCATTTCACTAGAGTTACATTTTGACTTCCTGGTGTCAGGGAACATTTTTTTTTTAACAGTTGAAGTCTTGTGATATGTGGAACCAGCTAGTGTACTGTTACAAGAGCTAGAGTTTGGCTAGATCCAAAGACATCTTGTCCAGAGACTAAACAGGGAGAGAACAGGTGCCCACGCCATTACATAGATGTCCTTAAATGGTTATGAGACATCCAGGAAGTTCATGGTTGCCCAAAGAGAGGAACAAAAAACACAGGTTCTCCTGACAAGTTCTGCACAGCTCCACAGATGTGAGCTGCAGTTCCCCAGTGACACACGGGGTGGGGGGGTATTATCAGGCCACACAATCAGTACTTAGAAAAGTATTTGTCTGAATCAGGACTTTACCTTGTAGCCTGGTATCTACTTCTGTCACTTCAGACCTGGAAGCCATTGACAAGGCCTTCTCAGATCTATTGACTCCTTCTTGTATCTGCTACATTGATATAGTATCATATTCAGATCCCCCTTTGTGTAGTTTCTTTGGGAAAGATAGGATACCCAAACAGAATGACCTAGACTGAAGTCCAAGGCATCTTAGAATGGCAAAAGAGCTAAGGGACAGACCCATCACACAGCTCAGTTAGCAAAGGAAGTGAGAGCATTGTCTTACAACTCTACATAGGACAGTAGAATCCACATCCTCGTTCTATGACTCAGGTCTCCTATTCCCACACACCCAGACTGGGAGATTCCTGACACATCTGGCCCTGGGCCTTTGTCCTGAGTCAGTACGCTGACTAGTGATTGCAGAGTGAAGAGTTTTTTCCTTTTCCTCATGATCCACATAGCTGGTCCCTTTGGAGCCCTCACAGACAGTTCTGTCCACTTTCTGGTGAAAGCAAATTCCATCTTTCCAGAACGTTGATCTCACAGGGGCGACTGTGAATATAGCTGGGTTTCTGTCCCACACATGTAGTACAGAGACTCCCTCTTTGTTGCAGACAGACCAAGGCCAGGATACAGCACAGGGCAAACCTAGATTAAGCTGCTGCTCTTTCAAGGCCCAGGGATGTTCATCATCCTTGTCCACATGTGATCTGGAGGACTAAAACATAAAGACAGAAGGGGAGGGAGACACCAGGCAGCACTGAGAATGCAGGGGGCAGAGAAATATTTTGAACACAGACCCACCCACAGCCCATGGGAGTCTGTGGGGTGCTCTGCCTACTCAGCTCTGAGTGGGAAAGGACAGCAGATTTTGGAAGCTGTTCTAGAGTAGATTTTCCACAAGAGGAAGGTATTTAATAGTGTCATGGAGACCAGGAATACACTATCTGTACCACTCTGCAAAGGGTACACTACCTCTCACAGGCTCCTGCTCACAGTTGAGACTACAAGTTGATAGTGTGTGAGGTGAGAGGACTGACTTACCAATTGGAGTCTCCTAAATGGGACAAGGACCTGAGAAGAATCTCACAGTTTGTAGGGGAGAAGACACAGGCCAGAGAGTTGCTCAGCAGCAGGAAGCGCTCAATGAACAAGAAATCATAATGGGTGGTGGTGATTGTTCTTACCCAAAGTTATTCACCATGATCATAATATTCTGAAGACTGATGTTCTCAGTTATGTCTTCATGAACAAAAAAATCAAGCTGGTAGTCATCAGTGACATGGCCTTGATATCAGTGGATATGGGCATTTTATTCATTGTCTGATGAACTTAGAAGCAAGGATTGGAAGATGTCCTCTGACCTCCACCTAAGTACTGTGCCCTGCAGCCATGCCCCATGCACACTGAGACAGGCCTTTGCATGCAAACTCTCACACAAGTATAATTTGTAAATAAGTGCCAAAAAAGCTAGTGAAAAAATTTTACACTGTATCCCCAAACCTAAGGTTTTCTTAAATAAATCCATGGGCATAAAGGGTTTTGAGAAATCGTTCATTGATTGAGTCTCTACAGGTATCTGAGATTTTTCTAGGTAGCATTTTCTTTTAAAAATATAAGAAAAACCATGGTTCTTACAATGCCCCAGTTTGAGCAGACTTGAAGTACAAGAGGCTGGAGGGTGAAGTGAGGTGTTGACTGGAACCACAAGAGGAACAGAACAACAACAACAAAAGATCAGAGAGTAAAGAAGCAGGGTGTGTAGGGGAAGAGGAGGGGCAGGCGTTATCCCAACACCAATCTACCAGAAATGTGAGCAGGGGTCTGAGGGCAGTGAGCCAGGCCATGTTGACACCTGAGGAGAGAGTGACATATAGTGGAAATGACTACTTTGGGGACACTGAGAACATGGAGGTCATGTGCTGTCCTCCACCAAGTAGGACAGCAGTAAGCTGCGGCCCTGTTGACAACTGAGGAGAGATTGCCATACAGTGGAAAAGACAAGAGTGGGGACACTGAGAATGTGGAGGTCATGTGCTGACCTCCACCAAGAAAGAAAGTGAGATGAAAACCCACACACCAGGCATGAGCAATGGACACAGCTGTTCAAGACAGAGGGACTCATCTTAGCAAAATACAAAGGTCACAATATTAATGCATCTCTCTTCTCTTCTAGCCTCCCTTTATACCTGTGGGCACCCTTCCCCCTCTGCCCAGCCCACTATTGAATCAGTGCCACCCAGTGTTGCTGAAGGGGGAAGTGTTCTTCTACTTGTTCACAATCTCCCAGAGAATCTTCAAGCTCTTTACTGGTACAAAGGGGTATTTGCACACAAGAAGTTTGAAGTTGCCCGACACATAAGACAAATAGATTCAAGTTTGCAGGGGCCAGCACACAGTGGTAGAGAAGCATTGTTCAGAAATGGATCGCTCCTGCTCCACAACATCATCTGTAAGGACACTGGATTCTATACCCTACGAATTCTGACTACAGATCTAAAAGTTGAAGAAGCCCATGTGCAACTCGAGGTGAACAGTAAGTGATGCTCTGTGATTGTTCAGTGCTGGGTGAGGCTTAAACACACAGGACTCTCATGTCTGCCTTTTGCATGACTCCTCTCTGCACTGTGTCTCCATGCTGGGGTTTTAGCACTTAGTGTGGGACACATCTGGTGGAGACAAATGGCCATAGATCATTGTCTGTAGTCTGACTACCCCAGTATTGAGGAAGACATTGATGGAAAGAAATTCAACATAAGATGTCAGACTCTGTCCAGTATCTGGGGCTTCTATCCATGTGTGTGAGGAAACCATAGCATCCTCACAGAGGTGAGCACCCGGAAGCCCTGGCCCCTGTCATGTGTCCTAGGCCCAACTACATATGACCATAGAGATCATTTGTCCAGGACTTGATTCTTACTTCTTCTCAGAGCTGAACAGGGAACAATGGTTTTTAATTGCCAGGGCCAAACTGGGGTATGTTTTAGCTCCAGGTTGAGAGTGTCATATATAAAATCCAGGAACTGGCACAAAGACCATAGAGGAGTGTTGCTTACTGACTTGAGACTTATGGCTTGGTCGGTCTCCTCTCTTTTATCACCCAAGACTGATAGCCTAGGGGTGTAACTGCCTGCAGTGAGCTGGATCCTCTCACACTAATCTGTAATTATGTGTGTGTGTGTGTGTGTGTGTGTGTGTGTGTGTGTTTGTGTGTGTATAGTATATACTACAGTCTTGCCCTTGGGTCAATTTGATAGTGGCACTTTTAATTGACTCTCCCACATTCTAAGGGACTCTAACTTGTGTCAAGTTGACATAAAGCAAGTCATCCAAGTATCTGAGACTTTTCTATGACCTGAGCCTGACAAAAAGATAAGACTGCTCTTGCCCTCACCCACCTCTAGTCCTGTGGACTGCAGGACAAATAACCAAGCACATCAGTAAGTGAAGTTAGGAGTTGACTGGATCCTTAAAGCAAACTGAAAAAAAGCCAGAAATTGAAAATCTATGGTCGGTAGATTTCAAGGGAGACATCATCTCAAATTGTAGTGTTCATGAGTGTTTACAGTGTCTGACTGAGGCAGAGAGAGAGGAGTTATTTAAACAACCACAGAGAGAGCTCCTTGCAGAGGAAATGACACATCCAGAAGCACTCAGGGATTGGAGGTCATGTTGCTGACCTCCACCTTGAAGGATAGACACACCCACATCTGCATCTCTAGGCTGAGTCATGAATCTATCTGTTCAGAACAGAGGTTACCACCTGCTGACTAACCCAATGTTCTTCAATTGATGGCTTTTTTCTCTTCCAGCCTCCGTTTCTACATGCTCTAACTCTCCAACCTCTACCCAAGTCAAAATTGAATCAGTGCCTCAGTATGTTGCTGAAGGAAAAAGCATTCTTCTCTTAGTTCATAATCTGCCTGAAGATCTTCAAGAATTTTACTGGTACAAATCAGTGTATAGGACAGACGTCTTTAAAATTGCAGAATACAACCGAGCCATTGATTCCACCATCTGGGGGCTTGCACACAGCCAAAGAGAAATGGTATACACCAATGGATCCCTGCTGATCAAGGACGTCACTGAGAAAGATGCAGGATTATACATGCTAGAAACTTTGAACAAAGATTACAAAATTGAGAAAGCATTTGTGCAACTCCATGTGAACAGTAAGTGACCTTTTATGGCTTCCAGTTGCTGGGTGTGGCTTATCCTACTTCATACACTAGACTGTCAGAACTGGGTTGTGCCTGCAGTTTCCCTCACAGCACCGTGTCCCCACACTGGGGTTTAGGCACTGACTGCAAGACACATGTGGAGTAGGCAAAAATTGGTCAGAATACCTCACTGGGCTCCACCTGCAGAGAAGAGAATATATGCTAGATAGCACAGCACTAGGATGTCAGACACATCCCAGAGTCTTGGGACTCTCACCATACAAGGACTCAAGAGAGACTCCGTGGTTTCCAGGCAGGCACTGCCTGAGGAAGCCATGAGATCTTTACAGAGAGTACAAGGAAGTCCTAGTTCCAAATCTCTGCCCCTGACACTTCTCTAGGTTACACTGGGGATATTTTGAAATGTTTGGCTTTAATATCGTGTTATTGCTGATAGGGATCAAGTCTTTACTGACTGTCCAAGTTCCATAGAGTGTGTAACTTGCTGTGCACTAACATGGGAGCTGCAGTTGGGTAGGTCACTTGGGCATCCTCTCCTTTCTGAGTCCAAATACAGATTCCCCAACTATTAGCCAATTATTCTTATAGGTTTAAGAGACTTCACAGAAAGATCAATGTCCCAAAGTATAGAAACAGAAGTAATACTTACTCAATACTCCTCCTTGTTCTCGGGGATCAAGCCTAGGGAATACTTTTCTTCAGGTAGATAGTAACAGATGCTGCTGATTAGAGCATCTTCCCCATCCCAAGTTCCAGCCATTGCTCATAACTAAGGTTAACTCACAGGAGAAGCAGTGATCATTTGCAATGTGTCCAATTATAGGGAAATTGAGACACAGCAAACTCAGGATCTCAAGCAGGGTCATACAGGCTATGGGTGGCAGATCCAAAGCACAATACACACACACACACACACACACACACACACACACACACACACACACACACACACACACACACACATATATATATACCCCTCAGGTCCAACAAATTCTCTCCTGTGGAGGCTTTATTAAGTGTGAAGTATAGAGGGGCTACTTGAGCTCGCTGAAGAATATTGTCATTAGTCCCCTCTCTTTTTTCCACAGAGCCTGTGTCACAGCCCTTATTGCGAGTCATTGACACCACAGTCACAGTACAGAGCTCTGTGATCTTCACTTGCTTCTCAGCTGACCCTGGAATCTCCATCCGTTGGATCTTCAATAACCAGAATCTGCAGCTCACAGAGAGGATGTCTCTGTCCCCCCAAAATTGCCAACTCAGCATAGATCCTGTCAGGAGAGAGGATGCTGGAGAGTATAAGTGTGAGGTCTCCAACCAAGTCAGTTCAAAGACCAGTCTCCCAGTCAGCCTGGTTGTGAAGAATGAGTGACCTCTCCTCTCATCCTATAGCAGAGTGCTGGCATTTCTTTATCAATGGCGTACAACAAGGAGAAAAGTTATGTGGTAAAAATTGTCAGTTATTACTCAGGTACAGCCAGCATGGTGACTCAAGCTTATAATCCTGGGATAAATGTGCACATGGACTGGCCAGAACATAAAAAGAGACCCAGTTTCTAAAGGGGAAAAGCAAACATAAATATAGTAGACAGAACTGCAAAGGAGTTAAGAGCTTAGCTTGTCCATCAATTATATAGCCAGTTCTTAGAGTCTATGGAAACTAATTTCAGGATCCCCAAACTTCTGGATGCTCTTGGTCCCCTGTTAAAATCGTACAGTGTTTGCATAGAGATAAACATCCTCTCATAAGCTCAAGTAGTTTCACCTAATACCAATGCTTCCTCGACACCAATCATCCATGTGAAGTGAGGAATGGTGACCGGATAAGTGACTGCGCAAGTTTATCTGTGGACATAACTGATTTCTAAATAGTTTTGATGCACAGTTTGTTTGATACACAAATGTAAAATACATGGTGTAAGGATCAAGTGGACTGTTTCTATCCTGACACTGGCATTCAAGTGCAAACTTGATCATGATTGTTTTCCTTGTTTATATTTTTTTATGACATAGATGGGATTTTCTACTTTAACTTTTCTGAGGTGCACTGATGAGTGGCATTAAGCACATTCATATTACCATGTGAACATCACCATTGTCCATTTGCAAGGCATTTCTAAACCTATATCCCGTCTACTTCTGTCTCTATGCATAAGAAAAAATAGGACATCTAGTTATTTGTGGTAAATATTAGTTTATGGAAGAACAGACCAGGTGGGTATGTTTGCTCACCAGTTCCAGAAACTTCTGTAGAATCTTTATTATTTTCTCCAAATAAGTTCATGTCATCTGCAGATACATTTGACAGTTGATTGATTGGCTACCTTTCAGTTCTTTGTTTTGCCTAATTGTTCTTTATAAGAATCCTAAGGTAAAACTAAAGAGAAGTGACCACAGCAGCATCCTTGTGTCAATCCTGGTCAGGGATTTTAACAGGTGACCAAGAACATCCAGAAGTTTGGGAATCCTGACCAAACACTGGAACACTGACAGTTTTCCCACTGAGTACAGTTTACTGTGGGTTTCCATGTGTTCTCCTACTGCACTGGCCTGCCCAGTACACCTTGTTTGGCTGTTTTCATCATTAAAAACTGTTCACTTTTGTCTAATGTCTTTATTGACTTAGTCTTATGAGTTACACGTTGAATCAGTTTTGTGTTTCTCATTCTTCCAACTCTATAGATTCTGGACTTATAGGAATATTTCTGTTTCCTCTAGGTCACTCAACATTTAGCACAACTATTGTGTGCTCATGGAACTCTTAGTATTCTTTAGAAGGACTGTAAGGACTCAAACTTCACTTCTAGTGTTTTTTTTTTTTTTTTTTTTTTTTTTTTTTTTTTTTAAGATTTATTTATTATGCATACAGTATTCTGCCTGTGTACCAGAAGAGGGAACCAGATCTCATTACAGATGGTTGTGAGCCACCATGTGGTTGCTGGGAATTGAACTCAGGACCCCTGGAAGAGCAACCAGTGCTCTTAACCTCTGAGCCATCTCTCCAGCCCCACTTCTAGTGTTAATGGTAATATATTTAAAGCAAAGTTAATCTAATTAAATGTTGTTAATACTGTTAATCACTTAGAAAAACCAACTTTAGATTCAATGATTTCCCGTACTGTTATTCATTTGTATCATTATTCTAACTTGTGGAGTTTAGATCATACAGAATCAATGCTTTCCTGTTTGCTCCCAATGCTTTGTTCAGTTACCTTTTCTTTGTACAGCTCAAGACCACCTCCCTATGAATGGCACTACCCACAGTGGTTTGGGCCCTCAAACATCAATCAGTGAACAAGGATATGCTCCATAGACACACCAGAAGGCCAAACTGATGGAGGCAATTCCTTGAGGTTTCCCAAGTTTCTCTAGCTTGTGTCAGGTGACAGAAACTAGCCAGCAACCTGTCAAACAAATCTGGTTCCACTGGGCCCATTTCAGAAGCTCTTGCCCTTAATTTCTGTAGGTCACATCATCAGTATCCTACTTCAAGCTCTGCCAGCTAACATATGGCAAAGATTTTTTCTCCCACTTGCATTGGAGGCTCTGTTATCTCTGAGCCCTAAGAAACCCCTGCATCTGCCTATGATCCACCTCCTCATGCATTTTCTTTGGATTCTAGTAGGCATGGAGATGAGAAGTCAACACTAGTGGAAAGAGGCCCTTGTAAGGATCAGAGTTCCTACACATGGCAATCTTCTCTCTGTCTTCTGCACTGCACTGTTACACACAACCACAAGCAGCAACTCCAGCCCAGTCGAGGACTGGGTGAAGACTTGGTAGCATTAGCATGTGAACCCAAGATTCGGGATATAACCTACCATGTGTTTTTTAAGTTGTCAGTGCCTCTCCAAATGTGACAGGCTGAGGATGTCTGAGAGCAACAGGACTTACTCTTTTGTCAGTGCCATTAGGAGTCAAAAAGGACTATATGAGTTTGGAATCTGGAACTCAGTGAAGGCAAAACAATGTGGCTCAGTCAACCTGAGTGTTACCTGTGAGTAAGTGGTATTCTATCATGCACAGAGGTAGACTACTCAGTTCCTTTTGAACCATCTATATGAACACCTAGGTTGGCCATGTCACCCTGTGTTAGCTCCTGCATATCCAGTCAGACCTTGGTTGAACCCAAGAATTGCATGAAGGAAAATCTCCTGCTTGGAGAATCTTGGGGTTACCATCTGTGGTGGAGAAAAAAGACATCTCAGACTCAGGCTCTGTTAACACATATGAGTATAATTAGGGGTTCTCACAACATGTGATATGGTTTTGAAATCTGGGATGTTGTGCTTGGCACACAGATATCTTGCTAATTCACTATACCACTAACTTCAACTGGGTGGTTTTTAATTGAAGTTTACGTGGCTCTAGAGCTACTATGGCCTTCAAAAGATGGGGAGCTTCTGATTCCCTCTCATATTGTCATAATTGTATTTGATCAGTTTACTACTCCAGAAACCACCCCATCCAATCTTCATGCCAGCAAGCATTCATTCTTTCGTGTTACTGCAACAAAACACTATGAACAAGCTAACTTACAGAGAAAATTATTTATTTGGGTTTATGGTCCATGATGGCAGTGAAGCGTGGTAGCAAGTCACAGATATTGCGGCAGGAGCAGGAAGCTGAGAGCTTCAATACCACCCTTTGGGGTGAAGTGTTTTGGTTTTCTAAAAAGATACAGAAGTTAGTCCCTAGACTGAGTCCCCAGGGACCATCAAGACCTAATCATTGCAACTTGAAGTTCAACCCCCCAGGTCTCCCCATTCTTGCTTCCCTGATTTCTTCTGTCCCACTCTCCACCCTGGAATGTGAGTAGTGGGAAGAACTTCACAGTGGAAAATATGTTCTTAAGGAAAAGTTGATTTATTTTTGTCAGAAAACTCATGCATTACTGCCCTTCCATTAATTTTACAACAGCTATTATGCAGAATGGATACCAGGGTTTTGACTTTTGCTCACACACTTTTATTTCTCATATTAGAAGAAAAAGCTCCCTACTGATGGGAACCAGCAGCTCAGAGATCTGCTCCCAGCTCTGCTCCTATCTCATGTGGTGACTGGTTCTACTCTCTGGGTGGAGAAGATGCCAGGGATGTCTCTTCTGTGTCAGGATAAGGCAGATCATCAATAACTTGATGATGCTACTTAACTGATTATTTTTAAAGGTGAAAGTATATCACTCATGGACATCAGAAAATCCCTGCTTCAGGAGCAGGAAAGTGGGAAAGCAACCCCCAGGTTAGGATGCCTCTGAGCTGAGTCCTGGCTCTAAAGGTCCAGCTGTGCAAGTCTGTAGATAGGAGCACATGTGATGGTCACAGACAGCAGTGAGAGCCACACCCTTGGTGAACAGGAAACTTCCTGTCCTCGTTAGCATTCACTGTCAAACTCACACAGGCCTTTGTCACCAATGTGGGGACCACTTCTTAAGTGAATTATTAGGTTGATCAGGGCAGTCTGCAGAAATATCTATGAGGGATTGTCTTGATTGTCTTAATGTGTTTAAGAGGGCTGAGGTCACTCTGGGTGGTGCCATCCCTATGCAGATGGACCTGGGAAGTCTATGGAAGATAGCTGAGCTTGATCCAGACAGAGATAGAGACTGACGGACAGTGTGTGTGTGTGTGTGTGTGTGTGTGTGTGTGTGTGTGTGTGTTTGTGTATGAGAGATAGAGAGAGACAGAGAGACAGAGAGACAGAGAGAGAAAATGAAGCATCAAGCAACTTTCCGCCCCAGTTCCTGCTCTCAAGTTTCAGCCTTGAGTTTCTTCCCTGAATTCACGCAGGGGTGGATTTGAACTCAAGTTGTCAGGCAAATAAATTCTTTGCTCCCTACACTGCTAACATTAGCATGTTTATCCCAGAAGCAGAAGCACAAGCAGGAGATAGTCTTTAGTGGAGAACATTAAACACCTCCATTTGGAGCATAAATAACGTTGTCTCTACTCATATACTTTGTTATCTTTGAGCAAAGAAATTAGACCAAAAGACAGTCCAGACTACTGTGGGTGCAATCCCTAATCTGTTGTTCTCTGCCTTGAGCCTCAAGAGACAATGGCAGGAATTCCTCTGAAGTTATAGAGTCACTAGGCTTCTCCTGTGTCTGCCTAACTTCTGTATGAATAATATTTCTGTCTCTGGACCAAGTGTTCCAAGGACAAACCACAAATTCTCTCTAGATGCACATTGCCTGCAGTCACAGTGAGCATGATGACTAGCCTTGCAATACATCTGTGCCCAGGTACCAGGCCTCCTCCCAGCATTTGAACCTGGTGACCATTCCTATTGCAGCCACAGGCATGAGTTTCTGGTCCCCTATGTTCTCTATGAAACACCATTAGTACACAGAACCAATACTCAGAAAATTAT